CCTCTGCCTCCTAAGTGCTGGGATTAAAGGCGTGCACCACCACGCCCGGCATAAAATATATCTTTAAAAAATTAATATAGAGAGTAGCCCTATGTGTTTGCTCACCTGTTAATTTTCTTCCTAAAGCTTAGGATAGGTGCTGGGATTAAAGGTGTGCACCACCATGCCTGGCATGAGTGTGTGTATGTATAATGATCACCTTGCTTTTCCTTGAGATCAGTTTGCTAGGAAAAAAAAAAAAGGGCCGTGAACAGTCAGCATGTGTGATTTACTCAGAATTTAACCTGTGTTCATTAACGTGCACTGTGGATCAGGCTCGCCTCTCACTTTCTAAGCAGAGAGTGATGACAACGCCCTGTGTTCATGGGCACAGTGCGCCCAAAGCCAGAAAGGGAACTTTAGGTCATACAGCCCTGCATCCGAGGAAAACCAAGGGAGGCCATGGGCATTTGTGAGTTGGGTGCTGTTTGAGCTATGATCTGAAAAGGCCTATGAGAAGTGGAGGGGAGCTGAGAACTGAATGGAGGGGGGCGAACAACCACGCGACCTTCCCTACCTAGTGTGCTTGGGGGTGCTGGCCTCAACAAACTTGGGAAGGAGGTTGGGCATTTAGAAGATATGGCTGGAGCAGGTGGCAGCACAGGGTGTGGGCTGCAGAGTGAGACCTTGTTACAAATAAACATCAGGGTGTTCCTTACATTGTAAAAATATTGAGTTAAAAAAAATATAATAACACCCAGTCCAAATAATAACTTTTTTGTCCCTGAGACAGGATTTCCCTGTAGCTCCAGCTAGCCTGGAACTTGCTATATAGACCAGACTGGCCTTGAACTCACAGAGATCCACGTGCCTCTGCCTCCCAAGTATAATAAATACTTTTAAAAAGAAAATGAGAGAGAACTCAAAAAATTCTAATTGAGGACAAATGAACTGCAAAGATGAAGACAGAGATGATTCAGTAATATCTTAACTCATTTAATGCATGCCGCTGCACCAGGCATTGGACATATGGCAAACCCAGGTACAACTCCCAGTGATCAGCATGGTTCAGCAATCAGTTAAAATCTTTTAACGGAATTACAAGAGGAGGCTGCTGCGGTAAAGAACATCACTGTGGATGAAAAGGAGGAAGGAGCTTCAGGTTGAGAGCAGTCAAGTGTCCCACTATCAGAGGTCAGGCATGATCCAGGCTTAGTGAGGTAGTACTCTGTCAGTGGCTAAGTTTCCTACAGGCTGCTTGTATATGCGCTGGTCTATTGGGTGGTATGTTCTGTGTAAGTGTGTATATATTCACCCTATAATAGGAACATCTTCCCTCTTCCTCCTCTTTCTCCTCCCTCACTTCTTCCCTTTCTCTTCCTCTTTGGGACTTTTTGGTGTTTTTGAGACAGGGTCTCCATGTAACCCCAGCTGGCCTCCATCTAACAGAGATCTGCCTGCCTCTGCCTCCTGAGTACTGGAATTAAAGATGTGCCACCTGGCACTCTTTTGGACTTTTTGAGACAGGATCTTGCTTGCTATGTAGCCCAGGCTGACCTCAGACTTGGAGTGATCCTCCTGCCTCTGCTTCCCAAATGCTGGGATCACAAAGGTGCACCACCACACTATGCCCAGCTCACATTTTTCTCATTCTTGCAGCAGTAAGCTCTCCTCCTGCTCACATTACTAAAATGGAAGACATCATCTGGGGGATGTGCCATGTTAACATGTCTCCATTCTGCACTGTGGGGAGTTCCTTAGGGTGAAGATGCTCTGATGGCCGAGGCATTTCAGTCAGGCCCCATCAGAATATAGCTGTTCTTCGATGTGGAATGGGCAATCTCAGAGTATTGTCAAGTTTTCAAGAAGGTCCTGGTTTTATCCTGCAGAATGAGTAGTTAGTGACATGGCACTGTGACAACCATCTGGATTTTCTGTTCCAGTCCTCCCAAGAAATGCTGTTTGCCTACAAAAACCCACTTTTCCTTTTCCTCGCTTCCCTCAAGGCAATCTAGAAAATTCTTCAGTGGTCTTTAGGGAGTGTACCTGTCATCTGGGAGACCTCCCATTGGGATGAGGCCCAGGGCTGTGATTGGCTCCCTCAGCCCCAGCTTGGATGCAACTAGCAGAATCCTCCTCCCAGGACAGCTCCAGAAGTGGGGAGCTGCTGCTCTTAGGTTACCTGAAGCTGCTGAGGTGTTCATTCTGTTCCCAGGTTGCGATCCCCATGGGAACCAAAAGCACAGGGGACTTTCTGGTTCAGAATACCTGTCTGTAAAAGCTCTAGCTTCCTTCTCAACTCTGGAACTTACTATTGAGACCAGGCTGGCCTCAAACTCAGAAATCCGCCTGCCTCCACCTCCATAGTGCTGGGATTAAAGGCGTGCGCCACCACGCCTGGCTGAGATTTAATTTTTAAAAATGTTTTATGTGTATGAGTATATGCCTGCATGTATGTAAGTGCACCAGTGTCATGCAATGCCCTCAGAGGTCAGAAGAGGGCATTGGACCCCCCTGGAACTGTTACAGACAGTTGCTAGCCACCACGTGGGCACTGAACCCAGGTCCTCTGCAAGAGCAGCCTTTGCTCTTAACCACTGAGCTATCCCTCAAGCCCCATCAATTTTTAAAATTTTAAAAAATTTTGTGTGTATGAATATTTTGTCTGCAAGTATGCAGGTATACTATGTGTGTGTTATGCCCACAGAGGCCAGAAGAGGGCATCAGATCCTCTAGAACCATAGTTATAGACACTTGTTAGCTTCCATTGTGGGTGCTAGGTTCTCTGGAAGAACAGCCAGTGCTCTTAACAACTAAGCCATCTCCAGCCCCTCAATTTCCTTTTGCTTTTCTTCTTTTTTTGAGACAGGATCTCAGGTAACCCAGGCTGGCCTCAAACTCTCTATGTAGCCAAAGATCTTGTATTTCTTTTTTAAAAATATTTTATTTATTATTTTTATTATTTTATGTGTTTGAGTGTATTGCCTACATGCACGTGAGTGCACCTGTGTTGTGCAGTGCCACAGAGGTCAGAAGAGGACTTCAGATGCCCCTGGAACTGGAGTCAAGGACGGTTCATAGCCTCCATGTGGGTGCTGGGCATCAAACCTGGGTCCTCTGCAAGAGCAGTCAGTGCTCTTAACCGGTGAGCCATCTCTCTAGCCCCATGATCTTGAATTTCTGATCCTCTGGCCTTTACTTCCTGAGTACATGGATTGCTGGTGTGCACTGCCACAGCCAGGCATGATGGAGCATTCTAGGCAAGCACATTGTCAGCTGAGCTACATTCCCAGCCCCAAAGGCTCTCATATCTTAGAGCCAGCAGCTCTGATGTTGTCTGCCTGGTTCTGTAAGCACCTAAGGCAGTAAGAATGATATTCCTGGGGCTGGCAAGATGGATCAGCAGGTAGAGTGCTGCTTTTACAGAGGACCCAGGTTTGGTTCCCAGCACCCACGTGGTGACTAACAGTTGTCATTTCCAGAGAATCTGACACCCTCTTTTGGCCTCTTCAGGAACTGCATACATGGGTTAATTTACAGGCAAAAGATAAAATAAAAATAAATTTAGAAAAATTTTAGAGTGGCATTCCTTTAAGAGACATAAGCAAATTTCCAGTCAGCTCATTCCAAACACACCCTCTATATTTGGTAGACATGCTTTGTTGAATTTGCATATGA